TCTGGCGAATCATTCCTGAATTGTTCACTTAATTTATCAGGCTATTGTATTAATTTCGAGGCACAGTGATCAGCTATAAAGAGGTTGGCCTCACGTTAAGAAAATTTTCTATGCCAAAATAAATGAAAAATGGGTACAATCTCTAGGCAAATTTGTCCTAAATGAGATCAAAAAAAAACTTTGACCTAGCGACCGAACATAAGGTTGGTAGATTTTTTTGCGCGAAATCAGTACCTTAGACTTTTCCATGCTACAAAAATCAATAGTTTTCAGTACACTTTTATTCAAAGCAAAATTATGAATGTAAGTACCAGAAAATACCTTACAACGCCAGAGTACATGTATTTACAAATAAAATGTAGTTCACAAAAAATAAAAATGTTATTCATTTTAACATGAGTATACGCACTATGCGGTGTTTAAATGAGGTGTTTACTTTTAGTTGGAAGCAATAATCGCCTGGTGTGAACGGCCTTTGAACTAATTGCTTTCCATGCGGTTGGGAGGAGCCAACTTTTGATTCAACTAATCGCTCTAAAATTACCTCTAAAGTCGCCNAAGTATACGCACTATGTGGTGTTTAAATGAGGTGTTTACTTTTAGTTGGAAGCAATAATCGCCTGGTGTGAACGGCCTTTGAACTAATTGCTTTCAATACGGTTGGGAGCAGCCAACTTTTGATTCAACTAATCGCTCTAAAATTACCTCTAAAGTCGCCTCATGTCAACCCCTTTTAAAATGTAGTATAAATTACCCTCATAATATCATTGTACACAGAAGCCAATAAATAATTTAATATTTATAACATTTTTGAATAGCAATGAGATTATTTCCATTTTGAGTGGTTAAATAGTCAACGAATTATTTACATTTCGTTTCAAAATTATTTTTAATTTGGAGTTCACTTTCTTTAATTGTAGTTAGAAGTCGGTTTCTCTCTTTGCGCCAGGACATAAATGATACTTCATCGTATTATCGTAACTGGTACATGGAACTGGAAGCATGTCAGCTATACTTAAATCATTTTCTTACGTTGTGCAAAACCTTAAAAAATCATAAAATATTTTCTGTAAAATAATATTAAACAAACAAAAGTATTTTTTAAGTAAAAAACCAAAACTGACTTCAATTCTCATATAAAAATTATCGGATCTAAACCATTGGTATGGGACTATGGGGTAGGTTAGGTTATCCTGGCTGCCCTCATCCGTCTCAAGCTAAACATTTCCCAATACTCCTTTGTTTGACGCACATATTTTAATATTTCATACAGTAACTTGTATATTACTTTAATAAATTCAAACTAAAACCCTGTTATACCTTTTTCGTGTGAAACCCAAATATATGTACATATATATTTAAATTATCTAATTCCCTTAATTAAAGTTGAATTTAAAATGGAGACGGGTGGAAACCCTCCTACATATTTTTTGAAGATAAAGTTTCTTCAAAGCCACTTGATTGATATCCATATTTAAGTAAATTATCCATATCCAAACCGATAAATATTGATAACCAAATCGATAAATATCGATAAAAAAGTCGATAAATACCGATAACATAATCGATAAATATCGACAACAAAATCGCTAAGTATCCATAACAAAATCGATAAATATCGTTAAAAAATCGATAAAAAATATCGATTACAAAATCGATAGCAAATCGATAAAAATATCGATAAAAAAATCGATAAAAACATCGACTAAAAACCGATAAAAATATGAACTATTTTATCGATAAGTCTCGAGAATCTCGAAAATTTCTAAAATCCCAAAATAGTTCCCGACTGAGTCTCTGTGTCTCTCTTTATATCTTTTCCTCTTCAATTACCTTTATTTTAATCTTTCTCATCCTCATCTTTGTTTTTACTTTTATGTTTATCATTTTCTTCATCTACATATTCCCCTTCACCTTTGCCCTTATATATATAAGTAAAGTGTTTAAATTTACCTTTGTCTTCATTTTTGCCTTTATCTTTACGCATCTTTCGTTTTGTTTTTATTTTGATCTTTGGCTTTATCCTTCTCTTTATCTATGTATGTACTCACCTTTACTTTCATTCTTGTATTGGTATTTTTTAAGTTTTATTCTTTAACCTTTTATTAGCAATTTTTTGTTAAATTAATACCATACACTCAAGAAGCACTTGTTTCAGTCCCAATAATTTCCGTTGCACCATTTCCGTTGCATTATTTCCGTTGCACTATTTCCGTGTGCAATTTCCGGTGAATTTGCCAATTTACTCCCAACCAACCAACCGCTACTAAAGAAGTTTCACTTCAAAAAGAAGTTTTCGTGTACATTTATGCATTCATACTTCTCAGACCGTCTTCAAAAGAGTCACAACTCAAAATAATACGTTCGTCAGAAAATGCGAAAAACCATTTCTTCGCAGATGCTAATCATATGGGCACGGAAGAGTTTACCTTAGTTGTTTTCAACAAATTATAACAAAGGTTTCGGCCGCTGTGGTGTAGTGGTAAGCAGTGCGCGCTTCCACTCCGCAACGCCTGGTTTCAAACCCTGGTCAAAACAACATCGCAAAAAATATAGAAAAAAGGTTTTTTCTTCTTCAGTTTTGCGGTCGTCCCTCGGCAGGCAATGGCAAACCTCCGAGTGTATTTCTGCCATGAAAAAAAGCTTTTGATAAAAATACAATCGCCGTTCGGAGTTCGGAGGAAAAGCTCGGCCAAACACTAACATATGTGTAAGCGCCAATCTATTATTATTATTATAACAAAAGCTTTTGCTGACACGTAGATAAAACCTCTCTGTGCATTTTTGTTTCCTTCTCTCACTTCTCTCACTTCCAGTGCAAGCACGTGTTTGCAAAAAGATAACGAAGTGATTTTGCATGGAAAATAATTTATGGCTATATACTTTAATCAAATAAACGTACTTAGAAGATACCAACCAATACTTCCCATATACCAAATGAAAGGAAAAAACTTTGGCTTTTGACTAAAGAAACATAAACAAAATCGTTCGAGCGGTTTTCAAGAACTTTAGTTACAAAAAAAAAATAGCAAAATTCTTCAAAAAATGCTCAAAATTTGTTGAATTTATATAAAATTTGAACACAACAATAATTCTATTACTCCAGAGAAACTTTATTCCAGAAATGAAAGTTATATCTTCCAATCCTAAGTTGCTAAAGCACTTAAAAGGCTCAAAATTTGCTCGAAAATAAGGCAATATTTACCGTTGTTTCTACAACAGAAACCAAACTGGTTACTTACGAAAATGAATCTGTCGATAGGTTTTATCTTTGAAATGCATGCCGCTTTTCTTTGAAATCACTTCAATAGTTCTCGTGCAATAACTAGAACAACTCAGAACATTTGAGCATAGCCTCCATATCGAGACGTAAGATGTATTCTACGTCAAAAAAATTTAAACGGACTGACAAAACCAGCAGCAAAACCCCTACTAAGTGTAGCAGCCATTGACAAATACTTTAAAATATTAAAATGTTTTATAAATATCGGAATTAATTTAATTCAGTGCTTAGTTTGCTAGTTTTTGAATTTATTTTAATAACTTTAGTATTTTTTTATATGTATTACTTTAATCACCCAGCCTAACATTTTGACAGGATATTCAAACATTTTGACAGGATACTTTCCAGGCACTTTAATTTGAAATATGATACAAAGACAAAAATATGAATTTTTTTTTTCAAATACGATAAGATTTAATTTTTTTTTTCAAAGTACTTCAAATTTATAATTTTTGCAGGACAATTATTTCTTCCGAAAGTTGGATTATTTCATTAATTAAAAATTTTGACAACTTGTGATCTAAAAACGCGTTTCTATGTTATAGCTGATTTTAAGTTTAAGGGATAAGGGAGGAGCCACGGCCCTCATAATGAGCAGATATGTTACTAAGGTATCGGCGTAAAATTTAAACGTAATGTGGCCAATGGGGTTCTTAGCTTATACTCGATTTAAGATTCCGATTATGAACCACTAGAAGTCAAGTGCCGCATATTTCGCGTATAAATAAACTAAGCGATATAGAATTTGATATAAAATGACGCAAAAACCATTACGATCCTAAACTTATTCTAGGTTATCTGTTAAGCGGAAAGATTAATAACACTCAAAGCCCGTAAAATTTTAAAATTACGTCCTCCTGTCTACAGAAATATATTGTTTTCTGTCACTTACAAGCTTGTTTTAGAATAAAGTCTTCTCTGTTGCCTGAATATTTGAACCAGCTAAAATTTGGTCTTCATAATTCAATTTCTCATTTTTGACTGAACCTGTGTGCTTTTTTGGAATTCTGACAATCGCAACGCTAAATTGAAAAGCGGTGGGCCTAAATGCACGCAACATGAAAAAGTAACAGATCGAATGCTTAATCAGCCAAATGGAAGTAATGAGGGGCATGTATGTAACATAGATATAGCATATTGTTAGGCCGAGGCCATGCAATGAACGGCAACGCAGCGAGCGGCTGAGCGGGTTAAAATTAAAACATATGGAATACTACTGAAGTGGCCATGTACTGAGCGGCATTTCTGATCGGCATTTTTGTATGGCGCCGCTCAGCTACTCAGCCGCTTTTCCGCTCATTGCGTGGCCTCGGCCTTAGGCGCGCTTGGCATTCTTTTGGAGATTTTTGTATCAAAATCAGCGATAGGAAATATTGGAATACGGTAAAAAATGGGTAGGTTGAATGTAAACAAATATGTATTGCTCTTTTGAAGGAATCTGGTAAGTTTCGTAATAATGTTCTTTATTCCTAAACTTCGACTCTCTGTAAACTAGATTTGGTCATGTGGGCAACTGCAAAACTCTTTTGACCTAATAAACCTCACAAAGGATCCAGCCTTCACCACTAAGAGTAATGATTCTCAGGTTGCCACCTAATGACTAATAATGATAAGGAAAAGAATGCCTTTGAGACACCGTAAATCACACAGGGAATTTTCTAGTTAAAATTAGTTTCAAAACAATAGAGAACTGTGCCAATTACCCAAGTCTACTTACCATTGTCATCATAGATGATACGAAAAGAATCTGAATGTAAATGACCAAAAAACTGGCCCTGTATTATTGACGAGTACTTGCGCACCAATTCCAAGTAGCGTTTGTTGTTAGTTTCGGTGAAAGTGGTGTGCCCATTCTGTTGCAAACCGATGTGGCGCTCATCTGAACCGGGTGGTATATGTCCCACAATGTAGACCTGTAATGAAAAGGAAACAATTTATATTTTTTTTTGGACAATTTCATATGTAAGGTAATGGACATGTAAAGTGAAAATTTTAGGTGTAACTACAAGTTTCCGACTATAAAAAATGTATACTTATTTTTAACAAATATGCTCACGAAGTATTTTTAGAACAAGATTTATTATAAGTTAGATTTATTATAGACTATCGGTACCACAAATTTTCAGTTTACCATAAATTAAAGTATACTATTTATTTAATCTAAATCCTTATGACTAAGCTAAGAGGAAGTCAAATAGGAGATCTGTGGGAGTTAATGAGACTTCTGTCTGTAAAACATTTACTCTTTTGCCGCATCCAGAAATAATTGTTGCTTCAGTTATATTGGTCTTCGTTTTGTCCAGTACCAGCCTTTTTCAATTACAGAGTAAAGATTACGGAGCGGACTCCCGATGGCTCAAATTAATTAAAAAAATGTAAAACTTGCGATGTTGCTTTGACTAGAACTTGAACCCAGGCCCTGCGGAGTGGAAGCGCGTACTACTTACCACTATACCACAAGGGCCGCCAATGACTATTATTTGAAAGATAATTTTTTAATGCCAACTTTGCCATTACATTTTTGCCATTTAATCCCTAGTGGAAAACTAGCATTAAAAAATTCATGAATATCGGAAATGACATGCCGCAATTTTTATATCCTATGGTGGAACCAGGTGTCATGGAAATACCACTGTGCGAAAACTTCTTTGATCCTATTCAGCTGTTTAGGCTACAACTAGGAACTTACATAATTGCATACTCCCGCAACATAGGAGGATTCTACATGCAATCCTAAGCAAATTTACCGAAGGAACCCTGGACCTAAAATAAATTTGTAGTGTGCTATTGCGCCCTCTAGTGGAAGTTTTAAGAAAAGGTTAAGTGCAGAAATGGTTCCTCATACCAAAAAATCCCTCATAGCATGTTTTTATGCAAAATGTATGCACTTCTTTACGACACTACAGAAATATGCTAAGAAACCGATTTTCGCAATTTACAAAACAAAAAATAATTAGACGTTTTCCTTTCACCATTGACCACTTTTTATTTAAATGATTTACTAAAAATCTGCATTTTTTTCAATTTTTTGCCCTGTTAAAATTTGTTTTTTTGTTCATAAAAATGTGAATATCTTGAAAAAATTACCAAATCTAGAAAAATAGAATAAATATCCCANAATTTTTTTTTAATTTTTTGCCCTGTTAAAATTTGATTTTTTGTTCATAAAAATGAGAATATCTTGAAAAAATTACCAAATCTAGAAAAATAGAATAAATATCCCAAAACTAGGACTGCAATTTGAGTTTCCGTGTTTTGGCGTTTTTTTGTGTTATTTCAAAACTTGCGATTTTCCCTACAGTGTTATTGGAGAGTAATATGTGCTTGTATGTTACCGCTCGAATAAGCTTAGTTTTAGTAAATTAGTTTTTTTTTTGTAATATAGGTAAAATTGCTGCAAAAACTAAATGTTTTTTTGTGGTTATTTTAAAAATTATTTTTTCTGCGAATTATGCATGCAACAAATATGTAGTTATAAATATGAAAATATTATATGCATATATAATTTGATATACATACAATAAACGCAAAGATATCAAATGATAACTAAACGTCCGGAAATATTGTATATCTAAATGCATGTACACAAATATTTATTTAACTAGTGTAGTATTTATCAGACTATTTATGCCAGTTTATACATAAACTATTTGCCTAACAAAGTACAAAATTGGCAGCGAGTGCAAACAAGTTTTACGTTTCATTGAATTAAATGCTGCAGATAGTTTTTGTCATCACTGCTTCTATATTACGGTAATTAATATTCTTTTTGCATAAACTCAAACTAAAATTAATTCAAATAGAATGCAAACCTACGACCCCTGTTTAGCTAATTTTCAACAAGACCCTCTCGCAAGTTCATCGGCATATGCAGCCGTTTGCATATACCTACGCGTGTACATAAATATAGATACATATGTACATGTACATATACTACTTGCCTTTACAATATTTATGTATATACCTACACATAAATATTTCTGCAAATATAGTATATAGTACATATTAGATTGCTTATCAAGATAAACTTTTACAAGCTAAACTTATCTTCCACTTGAATGGGCTCAAATTCAGCATTTAAGTAACTTTTGTAAACTTAGTTGAAGTGAAGTCAAATCAACACAAATAGAAACATTCACAGCGTTATATTTTCGAATAAAATTAAAGGCAAACAAATAAGGTATTTTGTGCAAATAAAACAACGCCCACATTCAAATATATAAATTTGTGTTTACTCAAAATACACACATACAAAAATAATGTACTGCTGTTCAAGGAGCATTTTCGCAAAAGTCCTTAACTTTCGAAAACTATTATCTATGTACATAGACACATGCGTACGAAAATTATAGGCTTTATTGAATATTGTAGCAAAGACATCAGAATTTGACAAATGACAAATTAGCCCATTCTTATAAACTTTAATTTCTCAAGAAAAAATTAGAGAGGATGTTCAGGGTTAACAGCAATTATTTATGTAAGTACACTGAAATTTAAATTTTCGTAAAAAAGGTTTTATCCGTAAACATCTCTCCTTATTGTGCCTTATCAGGAAGGCCTTAGACCTTACAAATCCACCTTTGTCCAGATTTGCACGGTGCGTTAAATCTTGCGAAAACCTTCCATTCGAATATCGATATATGTATACCA